CACAACTTCAGGACTCCTCAGTAAAGACCTCCAGCCTCCTCACAACTCCTCAGTATTTGCTGTTCCGATAAAGACTCCGTTTATTTGAGCTCAGGCGTCTCTGGCCTTTTGCTTTGGGGCCTTCCCGCTGTGGCTCTGCTTGCACATCATTAGTGAAATTCCAATCCATCACAGGAAAACGGATATATAATCGACTAACATTTAACATATTGAGAGGGGGTGCTTTGCACTCCCAGCCCACTCCTAACCCTAACCCTTGCTCTGGTGATTTTTACCTCACTGTCACTCAGTGAGGTAAAAATCACCAGAGCAAGTCAGTGTTTGACTTTCCAAAAAGTCTGCTGGTCTGCTGAGTGCATGTTGTATTGATAATGTGCATTACAAACTAAATGGATTTCAACCAATAAAAAACATGTCCGGCTGATTTTGGTGGATTAAACTAATTCAAATTGTACCAGGCAAACTTTATAATCTAAACCAATACACAGTGGTCCACTGGATTTTCCCCTCATAATTGTGAGAGCAATCCTCTGTTCTGATGTCTAACAGCTACATTCAACCTTAAACAGTCTAGCCCTAACCAGCTTCCATTTATTCAAACGTATTTATATACCTCAAGCAAAGACAATTAAAAATGACAGCAAATCAACTTCAACCACCGGACTCCCTCAAAATAAGAACCATCAGAGCTTACCGTTAGAAAGCAGTGGAGCATATAAACTACAGCCCAAAAACTTTTGGGAGGCTGATACCATCGACCAGATAAATCCACAAAGCCAGCTAACTTCCAGGCAGTGGTTGAATAGCCACGGGCTCAAAATGTTCTCCCCAACTGCACTAACATCAGAGAATCAAGAAATGATGAGCATGCCTCCAAAGGACAATCACAACCAGTTTAAATTTACTTTGACTTCACACTTTTTGACAGTAGAGAAGAAATGAAAAAAGGCTGAGAAAGCAGGCGACGGCGGGAACAGAGACTGTGGGGCGTGAAGAGTGTCCAGTGAGCAGAGAACGCTGCTGGAGGCTGCTTAGCCAGGTAAATCTGACCAGCAGACAGAGGGGGGGGGTTAGGGTTACTAACCCTAACCTTAGCAGGTGTGCTACGGGTAGATCTGACCAGCAGACAGAGGGGGGGGGTTAGGGTTACTAA